ATTACTCTGACTAAAACAAAGAAAACATGCCAATGGAACTTTTAAATGAATGAATCTTAATGTTCCATATTTTACGCTACAGTAAGTATTGTTTGACACATGTTCAAATATATGCAAGAGACTGAAACATTATGTTCACAAAAACCCTTTAAAATAATGTTACCGGTAATAATATCTTTGCTCTGTCAGAAATTTTACAGTAAACTAGATTCCTGTTCATATACTTTCTCAAATCCTTCATTGACTTTTAGTACATATCACTGTATCAAGAAACAAGAGTTCTGATGATTTTTAACATTATTATATTTTAAATATACTTTCGTTCCATTGGACAACATTACTACGAATTTAAATAAGAAAACTACTTTTTAAAAGTGGTACTCATTAATTTTTTTAGCTCTTATTGAAAATTTGTTTCAGGTTTTTTGCTATTTATAAAAATCAATGTTTTGTATATGGTAATTATACCTTCATTAGTATATATTTTACTGGGATTATGAACAATTAAAGTAAGAAATATAAACATCTGAACGTCTTTTTAATATGCAGCCCATTATAAAATTACGAGCATGTTTGTGTCTATGCAAGCACACATTTAAAAACAAAACAACCTACGATTTCACACAAAATTTTAATGGTAATCCCAGTTCAACAGCATCTTATTTTTAGAACTACATGATACTTCCAGTTTACATCAAATCTATAATGAACTTCAAAAAGTTTTAAAAAATTCTACTTAAAACAAAAATTAATTACCATTACCATTTATACAATCATGGATTTTTGTCAAGAAAGTTATTACAGCATCGAATACATTGTTCATATACTTTCTCAAATCCTTCATCTCCTCGATCCTGCAAAACAAAAAAAAATAACTTTTTTTTTTCCTTAATTAAAAAAAAAACAATTAGCCAGAAACTCACTGGTTTCATTAATATTTTATATCAATCTCAATCACAGAATTAACATTTTACTTAATGAATCAGAGTATATATATTTTAAGATAATATAGTACAGACCAATTGCTACACTGATAAATTAATACCTGAAATCCCAGAATATACTTAAATATTATAGTGGTTCAAAATTTACATGAAAGATAATTAAAAATTTTACTTTACAGCTTACTGAAACTAATACGATTTTTGTAACACATCTTATCAGATAGTAAGAAATCAATCAACAGAACTTTTAGATGCCACATTCAACTTGTGCATAAAAAAACCACACGTAAAATAAATATTATAAACTTCTAAAACATTTTTGCCACATGCATGTCAATGAAACCGGTTTTAAAAATTTGTACAGAAGCATTTAGAAAGATATTTTCTGATACTGTAAATATCTAAAATATTATTAACATGTAAAAATACCTAAAATTGTATCTTTACAGTTAAGACACAAGTATCTCTCTAATAGAAATAAAAAATAATAATTTTTTTAAAAGTTTAGTTTCAATGTGTATAAAATGGATTAAGTACAATTTTAGACTGAGTACCAATACTCAAACAAGCAACACAAATTGAATTCAAGTTGAATCCCCAAAACACAGAAATCAAGTCAATCATATACAGTCTATAGTGCAAGCAGCCTTCTTCTTTAGAGAATGATAAATGAATTTAGATACTGTTATGAATTTCTTTAGCGTGTGTGTGTGTGTGTTAGTATGAAGTTTAAATAGCTGTGCATATCTTAATAAAGCCTATGTTGTACAACATATTATCCAATATAAATCATTAATGCTTTTCAGTACCTCGTATTTAATTAATAATAATAATTTATCTTATTCTGAAATATGGCAGAGACAGAGTAATGCAGATTGTTTAGCCCCTCAAGCCCCCTTCATATCCAATTTATTAAAGTGCTATGGGTCCCTCACACACCACAGGGTCTGCAGGGGCAGTAGCTACATCCCTAGGCAGAGAAGAATGTAGTGGATGCACAAAAACTTTGCTCATGAATGCATTTTATTGAATTACTTCTTGATGAAGTCATATTGGCAATAATAGAAGCGGCTTATGAAAACAAACACGTACACTAAATTGTTACATATGAACATTATAGACAAGGCAATTAATGCTACAGGTTTGTTAAAAGCAAAGAAGTTTGAAATGCATAAGTGCATATCAAGTAAATCTAAATAGCATTTATTTTTGAGCTTCTTTTACCGGTAATAAAACAAACAAGAAAGATTGTTGTCAAGGTTAGTGACCCACACAATCACCTAAGTCTAATTGTTAGTCAGTAACTAATTTTTTTATAACTAGATACTAATTACCAACTAGTTTTATTGTAATATGTTTTGGCTACTGATCTGTTGTCATCTTCGTAACAGTACAAAAACTTCTGCGTTAGAAGTGGCCATGATTGGATCCTAGATCTTCTTGATATAAAGTCTGGTACTTTGTCCACTTAAACAGGGTCTCTTCCATAAGAACTTAAATCAACAACACGAATGACTTCAAGAGGATTAACCAGATGCTACTGACTTCTTAAGTTTTTTTGACTGAATCTGCTATCAGTTAGATGGATGTAAAATGATTTTTTTTTATCTTTCTTTTTTCTTGTGTGTGATTCACATCCCATTATTTTAGTATTAATTAATCTTATCACATAACCACCTTGTCTAGCATGAAGGGCTATTGCAGACAAATCAGCATTACTTGTATGTCTATTATACTGTAATTCTAACTTTTGTTTGTCTTTTTTTTTTCAAGGGATGTTGTAAGTGATGTATTTCCTCTCTATTGGTGCTGCGAATTGATTAGTGGTACTAAATGTGATTACAATGTGTTGCAGCTTCTGAACACTGTTCTGACTTTATGCTGTTCACATGTTTTCAGAGACCCCTGAAACAGGAGAAAACCAGTGTTTATTGTATGTCTGTAAATTTCTCGTGTTTATTCTTAGTGTTTATCTTCTTTATCAAGTGTGCTGGGTATCTATTTTTCTTTCTTCTTAGCTTATTCAGTATTACATATCTGGTTCTTGAATTGCTACCTATGGTTAAGGCTATTTATTATAATAATAATAATTATTATTATCATTATACATAACTAGATACTGGGTAGTAAATGATGCCTGTCTTTACTTTGTGGGGGTGGCGTGATTCATAATTGAAGTATTTATCCATATCTGTGGGTTACCTGTAAGCTCCTGTGCTATACGAGTTACGTGTTTCAGTGACAATCATGCCAAGGAATGGGAGCTCGTTCTCTATTTATGTTCCCTGTAGAGGTCTTCAAGTACTAATGATAGGAGTGAGCCCATGGCTAGGCATTCTTGCTGTTGGTAACATTTAGTTAATAGATTTAAGTTTTACTAGGAAAGATACCTAGTATAATGCACCAAACTTTCTATGTAAAGAAGACCCAGGATTGAATCCCTGTCACAATCAACACAAAAATACTTTCTCATTACTTCCATGTCAATGGCAGTAGATTAGAATCTAGAATATACAATAAGAAGAAATTAGTAATTAGTATCTGATTATAAAGAACTAGTTACTAATTAATAATTAAACATATTTCATCATGTAAGCTACTAACAATAATAAAGACTGTTATCTGATCACCACAACCTCATGCAAGTATAAAAACAAGAAACAAAGATAAAGTTATTTTGTGTATGTGTTCATTGGCATCCATGCTTGTCTGAATACAGATACATGCACACATATTTTGTTCATTCTCATGTTTAACTTCCAGCAATTTGATAGTACAATAGCCTTTTTTTCTTTGTTATACATTAATTCATTAATATCAGTTCATTAACAGCTTCAAGATTAAATAATAGGGTCTAGTGTAATTATGATATATATATATATATATATATAAGATAAATAAAAAATTGGAAATTTAAAAATTTGCAAAAACAGGGATCATGAAAAAAGAAAGGAAACAAAGGAGGAAACACTGTAGACATTACTTAAACTACAAACCCCTATTTTACCTCCATGCTGTTATCTAGAATTACATTTGGTGGAGTCAAAATATGGATTTGTAGTTTAAGTAAACAATGTCAACAGTATCTTCAGCCTTTTTTTTTCCTTACTTTCCTTACAATTCCTAATTACAGGTTTTTAAATTCCCAATTTTTTATTTATCTTGTTTGCTGGCTTTCTTTAGGCTCAACTATGGGCAAAGGATTACTTGATATGGTAGCTAACTATATACATTGTAATGACTATTTGATCGCATTAGTTTGGGATGTAAAATGTTAAGCTGCAGCTGGAGATTGTCATGGAGATTTGTTTGAGAACATAGTGAACATTTATAGTTTCTGTGTAACTAAGTTCTCTATCTATATAATGCATAGCAATGGGTAAATATATGCCTAGACTAAGACATAACCCCCACTAAGCGTGAAAAAAAATTTCCCAATGGAAAAGCAGCCTTTTCAAATAAAACATATAGATCTAAAACATCATTTTAAATGAACCTTTGTTTCTTTTAAAGTAATTATTCTATAAATGTATGTAATAAATTATAATATTACATGTATTGATTTTTTTTTTTACATAATATATGGGTTGGCTCCCTAAAAGACATAGACTGCACAGTGTACAAAGCATTCATTATCTACATATTACAATCATCTAATGTTCATCTATTATTGGATGGTAATTCTTGTTTCACCCTGTACTTAACTCTTTCAGCACGGGCTTGTTATAGTTTTCATGCCATAACTTTTAAATTAGTAAGCATACACTAATGAAATTCAGCAGAATGTCAGTAAACATTACAATGCTTTCACACACAAAATATCAAATTTTTTTATTAAGTCTTAAGGTTTGCTAAGCAATATTTTTCTCATGCCTTTTTTTTTCTTTTTGCATGTTGCCTATCCAACATGCAAAGTAATTTTCATTTTAAGATTAAAAATACTTTTATGCATCAGAAAATTTTCAAATTTCACATGCAAAATCTTTATAATGTCAACATAGTTATCATACCTTTTTTTTTCAGTAACGAATCTCTGCAGGGGTTTCG